CATCGAGACTTGAAATATAATTTCGTTGTTTATTTAGAGTTACGAGCCCCCTATTTGGTTTATTTTCCCTGCAAGCTTGACGCACACTAACCAGCCCATTGAATTTTTATATTTCTGTCTGGTGACAGACAAAAGCAGAGTAATATTGGGTCAACCTAATGAAATTGGTGCCATAAACTTAACTTGGTCTCAAACCAAGAACAAGAAAAAACAAAAATACCATAGCGTTATACCCAGAATCAGCCCTTTTTGTCACTCTAAGCTATCCATAAAAAAACTTACGTACGTTTTCAAGAGTTTTGCTGTTACTCTAAATTTCTGTAATTAATTTGGCATATGTGACTGGCAGATTTTGTGATGTTCCATGTTTCAACTAATAATTTGAAATAAGACTTTTTTTTTTCATTACCTGAGCCTTTGATTTTGGACTAAAGAAATCTTTTTAGCTAAATATTAATTGTAGCTATGAGTTACATAGCGCAGTAACCATTTTTAATTGAGATAAAAAATGTTTGGGGATAACCAGTGGCAAAAGAAAGGAAAATGTATTAATTTCGAATAATCGCAAAATGAAAACAAAAAATTTCTTATATCCAGTTTAAAATACCCCGTTGTAATATCACATGTAACTAGTCTTATCAGTACAATTTTAACTGTCTTCGTTTCTATTTGCCCCATTTTTGAAAATTTCCATTGGAAATTCCGTGATCTTATTAGCGGCGAAATAACATCAACTGTCTAGATGAATAAATTTATGTTTTTAATATCTTCTTTTCATTGGTCAGTACAGTGTCAACTCGATTAAAAAATATGTCCGCTAAGTACAAAAGAACACATCTGAAAATACAGCAAACCGGTTCCTAAATTATTTATCACCTTGTCAGAGACTAGAGCTTTGTTTCTGGAAATTAAAAGCAAAGTTGAATACATTAGTAATTAGCTCGGATAAATATGAGCTGAAACCCTTTAGAAGAGAGCCAAATAAATCGAAGGATTTCTGATGATACCTGAGGCTAGTCAAGGCTTAGAATTTCATATCAGTGGAGTTTAACAGAAGGTGAAACTCTGTATAACGGTGAGTAGATTTTTGGCTGCGGGGATCATTCGTAAGGGAATTAACCTGGTCTTGTGAAAGGTAATGGGTAAGTTCAACTCTGTGAACGACACTCAACTTGAAACTATAGTGAGAAAGATGGAGACTTGACATCCCGCCGTCGTATGACGATCATGGCCAAGCGTTAGCTCGAGTGCTAGACAATCAAAACATTTCCACGAAGATTTAAACCTCAGACTTTCGTAGATTTAACTGTCGATTGCTTTAATATGAAATTTCAGAGAACGCTATGGTGAGTTATGTAACAATTCCTACAAGACGAGCATCTTGCATCAGTTCTGCTAAATCATCCATTTCTATAAAAGACATATCCTTAAAACTTGTAGATATTTCCTCGCTTTTGTAATGATGTTTCAGCGCACAATCGGTGTGGTTAACTTCATTTAAAGAACGAAATATCTTCCGTACGAAATTGCATTTTGCAGGACTAGCAACGAACAACAATTTAGTTCGTTATTCCGTGAACAATGAGAACTTACACAGAAGTCTAAATTACATTTAACAAGCGTGTACCTCTGTACGTGCGTCAGTTTTGTGTCCACTTTAACAAGATTAGATGATTCGAAATCAGATCATAAAGGAGAGTAAAAAAAGAAAGGGATGAAAACTAAGCCTATTAACAAACCATCATATTTGCTCACTCAAGATCGATTTTTTTAAAAAATTTTGTGAACGGATTTTGGACGTGTTCAATTTTGAGTCCTTCATAAATCGAAGAAAACAATACAAGGCTAATTGCTTTTCTAATATTTACTTTTCGGATAATTTTTTTTCCAAAATTTCAATTAAGCACTATTGCGTACAATATACGATATACATGTTATACATGTTTCAAAACTGGAAGGAGTTTTAACGGAGGCCGGTTGAGAAGAGTTTTGAAACCACATCGATACATTTAACAAGACGTTGTGGTCGACCTTGGAAAAAACATTAACAGCTGGGAAAGACGATTTGCAGGACAAAAGTTTGGTTTAAGATAATTAGAGATCGAACTAAAGTAAGGCGGGTAGAGAGTTTGGTTTATTTTTTCTAGCGGAACACAAATTACTTATGATTCCTTGCTTAATAGATCGCAAATCATTTATTGTCAGGAAAGAGAATCAAGAGCCATCAATTACGATTTACACCTTTGGATGAATTGAAATTGCCTCGAAAACTTTTTAGTGTCTTTTCAGTTTAACCCAGCAAGGAAGAAGTATTATTATTATTATTATTTGAATGTTAGACTTTTTGTCTACCACAAAACCTTTTGATAAGGTAATCGTGAAGGTTGGGAGTCATATTAATTGGTTTTGCTCGATACTCACCTTCATTTATTTGAATGACTAACCCTTAGAATTAGTAGGACTTTTTTTTTCGAAATTTTCGGTTCTGTGAAGCGTTTCACTTTAGGAAGAATCTACATAAATTTACTTTTCAAACGGGAGAACTTTGTGGAGAAATTTCACTTTTTTGAGGGCAATTCCCACAAAATCTACTCTCAGGATAATATGAAGATCTTAAATAATTGATAACCCAGCTGAAAAGTACATTGCGTCTTCTTTTTTTCTTTAATCAATATTTGATGAAGTAGACAATGCTCTCCAGTTTCTTTTCCCACGTCGAAGCCTCCTAAGTTAATGTCTGATGTCCCAAAACAAATCTTTACATAATGACGTTTGTACCTATTTCGTCTTGAATGGAATCAGTATTGAAAATGAAAGACATCGTGGAGGTTTTATGTTTTTCTTCGTAGCGGAAAAGTTTTGTAATAATACGCCCACTTCGATTTTGTTTTTGGTTTTCTGGTGCAAACAGTTATGTTGTCTCCTCGCATCATTCTCCAAAGTTCTTATTTTTTCGTCGCCATACTGTCACAACATTTCATTTGCTTGAATAACATCCGCAGGATGATCAGTCTGCATTATTTTTGGGAAGGAATCGTCTGTTCTGTCTTTGTCTGCGGGAGGAATCAGCGGGTATTGTATAAACTAGCAATGAAAACTTTCTTGCATTGGAAAAAAAATTTTAATTTCTTTAGCTGTACTCCAGACGGAAATAAGGCAGTCGACTCAATGAACAAATTGCGCAGTCATTTCGCGTAGTCACTACTTTTGAATACGGGTCATTTTTAATCCTTTAGCTCCAAAGATCTGATTGTCGATTCTCCCCTGTACCTGCTTCAACTTCCAAGTAAATTAGTTACGAGAATTTGGTTTTAGATCAAGATAACAACTTCTACCTGATAACAGCTTGCATCTAACAAAAATATACTAGGGTGTCCCTCTTTCCTCATAAATCAGTAGAAATCTATTGAAGTGTCATTTGGTTGAGTTCATGTTCTCTGTCAAGGCAAACTCACACTGTTTTAACCTTTTGATCCCTTAAAGTGACCAGCATTTATTTCCCCTTTGCAATATTATCCCTGAAGCATAAATTTAGTTCATGAGAGAAAAGGAAATGATCAAGCTTTTTATTGTTAAACAAATTCTCCTTGTCAGTACCTAAGTAAATATGAGGACAACAGTGTGGAGAATATACATACTTCTGTTAGTTTCTTTGCTTCTGAAGAGTATGGAGTTTTTTTTTCCTGATGAATAATGTATATCAGTATATGATAATATGCAAATCATGTACGATAACCTTTTTTCCACACGTGCAACCTCTTTGGAAACGGATTAGACGAGTACAAATCGCAATTGTGTTAGCACAAAAAGAAGCTTTTTCTTATCAAAAACAAACATCTAAAATTGTCTTCGTTTTACGAAACTGTAGATTAGGGCCTGGCCATGGCGCACGAGATCTCTACGCGCAGTTTTAACGGATTTCGTTTAAACTGAATTTCTAGCGAAAATCTTGTTAATAAATTGCATGTATTTGCATGAGCACAAAAGTAATTTTCATCGCCCATTTCTAGATCCGTTTTGACACGGATTTCATTTACTGCATTATCTATCGAAAAAATACCTGCGTCAAACAGAAAGTACAAGCTGAAAGACAATTAAAAGCTTCTTTGGGATTGCCGGCTTTGTATGATCATGGCTCAATGAGTCTACTATCATTGCATAGCTTTGATTGGTTGAAAGAAATGAAGTAAGCTGCATCAACCTCCTGACGTCAGCGACTATATTGCCTTTGTGAATGTGAAGAATCATAACTCTTGAATGTTTTATTGATTTTGGCGTCTATGTCCTGTTTGATGACACACTACGTGGGCGATGTTTTTTTTCTGAAGACGAACCCGCGGCGGTCATTTAAAACTTGTTTTGTATAGAACGAAGGGATTATGACAAAAAGCACGAACTCTCTTGAGCCTTTGAAGGTAAAAACAGGCCTTGTAACTTTCCCCAGATGACACATGTGATTCGGTGACATCTGTCAGACTTGACTGAAAAAGGTTAGTTGTATTTCATATTTCAAAAATGTGCTATGTCAAAACGGTTTTGTGACAACAACTGAAAGAGGAGTGTGGCGACTGCCACATGATTGCGGCTCTTGCAGATTTGTAAAATTTATAACTATAAAATTTCGTAATATTTTAGAAACTGACCTTTTCATCTAACTTAAAATGCTTACGATTTCGAGCGAGTGGAATTCCTAACTGCTCTGTGAAACCAACTTATGGCTTCGTTATGGTCCAATCAGGAACAAAATTAAATGCAGCATTAAGTATGCAATAACACTAAATACTCGCAAGACGCCTTCTCTCATTATGGGCAGTGTTGTCTGAAGCTTCACTTCCGACATAAAGCAGCCTAATTGCAGAACAATGTTGTTGGAAAAAATGAAAAATGACAAATCTCAATACGTATTAATTTCTAATATAAACAACGGTCTGCTTCGAGAAGCAGTCCTGGACTTCGACAGTTGCCACTTTCTACCTCAGATTTCATCGCGATCATTCCAAGGGAATAAATCAGATTAAGTTTCCGACATAAAAATGAACTATTTGGATACTCTCCACAATGCCATTTATTCCTATTTGGCCTTCTTTTTAACCTCCTCTGGGAAATAATATCTGCAATTAAGCTTCTACGTGTACTCTATTTTCTTATTCTTAACAGCGAACTGATCATCCTTAATGTGCGGCAATCAGTTTTATCTCCTACATGTACATCAAAGCAACCGACAGCCTCTCAAATAAGGGGGCATAATTGAGATAAATTACAGGTAAAATATCGTGGGATTTTTATTAACGGTTTGTAAAACGAGGCTGGCAACATTCGGAGCTGACCGCTACAGCCAGAGCTTCAGGAAGATTTTTGGCGCACATTGGTTTTGCTCAGGTGGGTCAGAGTTTAAAAGGTTCCTGAAACACCGACAATAGTAGAACCACGTTAGCTCTGGGGCCTTCATTGATATTTAGCGAACTATGCAATTTTACTTCAGAAGAATTTTCAGTCATTAAGAATTACCAGCTGACTCAAAATTCCCTTTATCTCCAAATATTTTTTGTTACCTTAGTTCAGTTCGAATGAACGACATTTTACACAAGAGCTGGACGGCGCTTGTATGAAAACTTCCAGTCATACCAACGGAATTTACTTGAACATTTTGAGTGATTATGAAAAAGATTAAGTTAAAATGTCAAAAACTAGGTGGTATTTTGAGTGAGGCTGCAGAAGAGTAACGCAAATGGTTAATTTGCGATATTTGCATCCACAATATTCATGACACAAGCCAAAATGCTATACGCTATTTTCTTAAAAGAGGAAACGTTTCATAGCCGTGATTCCCAAAATAATAACTCAATGTCGTGGGAAAACAAAAAAGTGAATCAGCAATTTTCCTCTCTAAGTTAATGCAATGGATTCAAAATTTTCTTTCTGTACATGTACTTAAAAAACAGAGATGACTATCACAGTATCTTGCTGAGAATACGACTAACAGTAAACAGTTGAATATAAATTGGGTGGAGGATTTAAGAAACATTCCCTATATCTGACCTCTTTAGTCACTCGTTTTGTTTGCAAGAAATGCCTTTTACCCGGGTGGAGAGTAGTCCATTTTTCTTAGACTACATCCAAACGTGTTTGTTTGCGTGAAACATTTTCAACGTATTTAGTGAAGGTTTTTTCGTTCTAAAACCCGGAATGATTAAAAGATCGAGTGATAATCGGTTTTGCAAGCACCTGTTCTGAACTGAAATAAAGAGGAATTTAATCTTCGCTTTGAAAACGAATACAATGATGTTATAGATATTTCTTAAAATGGGCTTGCATACTCAACCATGGCTAGAGAATAGCAAACACGTTTTATCGCCGTTTACCAAGAATATTGCAAAATGACCGACAAAAAATCAGGCGCATGCAAGAGAAATAAGTGCACTCTAGTTTCGAAAAAGAGGGACATAGGAGGAACTGTGAAATACAGACAGACACAACATTTCTAAGTGTGGAGGTAGAATAATCAGAATAACTCATTTTAATGGTAGCTAAAATGGAGAGGTAATTTAGCTTGAAGGAGAAAAACATCAGGAAGTATCTAATCCGCAGAGAGCTCGATTTCTTCACTGGAAAGCTGAATAAGAGAGAAAAAAAGACTAATTGAGACCAGGTGAAGCTATTTAAATTTCGGAAATGAGGCTTCCCACGAGGAAGGATTTGGCACCGGCAATTGTGATGAAAAGATAGTGCTGAAACTGATCAAAAGATTTCATTTGAATTGCCACACTAGAGAAACAGCCTGTGGCGCGGCAGGATGCTAATGTATGGCGATATCACAGGAAATATACGCAACTAAGGCTGTTCTTTAAAATAATAAGTAGTTGAAGTGAACGAAACAAAGTGTAATTTCAAATGATATGCGTAATTGTAGTGTTTGAGTGTAGACACACTTCAATGATATCCCTTAAAAGGATTTGCAATTTTTGTTTGGAGATTCGTCTCGCCGAATACAGCTTTGAATCTTAAGTTTGATTTTCATGTAAATTTTCGAAGCCTAGACGTGAAGCACACTTTCGAAATTAATTTGTCAACCATTTACACACCTCCCATGTGTTATTTCTTTTAAAAACACATTCGCCAGACAGAAAATATGTCTAAATGTGAAAATAAAATTTTGAGCATGGCGAGCTCTTTCAAAAGGGGTAAACAACTAAATAATAACACCGCATTTTGTGGTGATCTAGAAACTTTCTGGTCCGGGATAAATGTGGAAAATTTGCGTTTATAGTTAAAAAATTTGATTATGGACATGAAACTCTTAGGAAGTTTTGACCAAATTGAGCCTGAATTAAAATAGATTTCCTGATGAGGAAGGAAGATCTGGATACTGATTTGTTGTATTTACATTTTTTAATAAATTTGCAAAATTTGGCAATAAGTTCATATTTGTTAATGAGCAAAGAAATAACAACACCTTCTACTGTTCCTATGTAAAATTTGTGATAATAGTTTTTGGTATTGAAGGTTTTTCTCATCTTTTTTGGAGGAAGTTTTGAACATCTGCAGTATCTACACTTTTTGAGAATCGTGCAAAATTCGTGTCAATAGCTTCAGATTTATGGCAACGATTTTGCAAACGTCCTTTCTTGAAATCTCAACAATTTGCCGCCTGTAAGGTTCTCTTGGAAATTTGCAAAACTTGTGTTCATTGTATGAAATTTGATGTAAGGCATGAATTTTAAAACACCTCTACAACCCTTTACACCCTAACATTAGAATGCATATTTTCTATACTGTTCTCTATACATTTCCTACGATGCTGACGACGAGATTTGTATAACAATCGAGAGCTTGTAAATAGACTAGGAGAGATGGTCAGTTTTGAGCTTGGCAGAGAAATAGAGAAAGATGTTTTTCGTCCTGTCCCGAGGGTGCGACAAAGACAAAATTCTGAATCCCCATGAGGAATCGAACCTCAGACCTTCAGATTCCTCGCTCTAATGCTCTTCCACTGTGCCACAGAGACTCTACGGTGAACGAGGTCTAGTACGAAGTTCATAAGTATGACACACGTCGTGCGAGGATCTAAGCAATGTCGATGGCGTCTGTTTGTAAATAGAATAAGAGAGATGGCAAGTCTTTACTTGGTGATCATTTCCTTTATTCTCGTGACCTTAATGCTTGACTCTGGAGTTACATTATAAGGAGAAATTAGACGCAAGTCATTCGAAGGGGTTATGGGGTTGGCAGGAAGTTCTGAGAGATTTGCAGCCTTTGTGGTCTGATGGAAACGTGTTAAACTTGTGATAAAAGTTTTGAAATCTGTTGATGAGCAAGCATTGCCATTGAAGAAAATGTGCAAAGTTTTTGATAACTGTTTATAATTTGTCGATGGGCAGAAAACTATCAAACGTCGGGAATGCTAGTTGGATTTATGAAAAACCTTTCTTTTCGTTATTCCCGGCAATAAACTGGCTCGACCTTCCGGCGACAAACCATTTTGATTTAACATTGCGCCTTTAACTCTAGATAAAAAAAATTTTAAGTGAAATTTTTATTTTTTATTTACCACCAGAGAAGAAAAACCATACTCTGATCGATCTTTTCGCTTTGGCACCAATCAGCGATTTCAAAGAAAAGTTAACCAGAAGAAGAGAATTAAACGTAGCTTTGCAAATTGGAAAATCATGAGCTATCAGACTGAAAAGGGCGAAAATATGACTGACTTGGGTGAAAATATGGGTTCTGAGAACCAAGATTATGGCATTCCTCTCGATACAATTCCTGCAATTGTGATCATGGTATTGATCCTGGTTATAAACAGCGGTGTCATCCTCCTTATCAGCTACTACTCCTCGCTAAGAACCTCAAGTAATATCATCCTGGCCAGTTTAGCCGTGTCAGACTTTCTGGTAGGTTTGGTTGGTATTCCACTGCTCGTGGCATGCAGTTCCACACTAATATCTTCCATCTGCGTAAGTTCCTACACCTTTTTCACATTTATGGCCCTGTCTACCGTGCTTCACATCACCGTAATGACTTGTGATCGTTACATATACATCATGTGGGCACTACGTTACTGCGAAATTGTTCGTCGTGGTAGAGTCCTGACTGTGCTCGGGTTGACCTGGTTTCTTAGCCTTAGCTCCTTGATTCGTCTTTGGTGGACGTGGAATATCAATGTGCAGACAGCTGAAGAAGACTTGGCCCCTATGCGTCAGAAAGAAACCATTCTATTCCTGTTCAATATTGTTATGTTCTTCCTCGTTCCTCTGATTGTGATGATAGTTCTTGACGTCCACATGCTGTTATTGCTGCGGAGACAATGCCAGAGAATCGCGCGGGAAAATTTACCGACGGAATTCGTAAAACGCGAGAAGAAACTCCAACGAAGACGCCGAAGGGCTGTATTGACTTGCGTATTACTACTGACACTTTACGTTATTTTCTGGCTACCATATTTCATTTTAGAAATCTTGCAACAGAATCATCAGGGTCAGTTGCCGAAGCAAGTGGTTATCATTATTTATTACTTAAGGATTTTTACATCCGTGTTCAATCCGTTGACATACACTTTGAGGAAATACGACTTGAAAAAGAAGGCTAAATACATCGTCAGGAAATTTTTCTGTTGCAGGAATGAAAATGATTCACCAGAAAAGTTCGTTTAATTATGCAAGACAAGGTTATATAATCATTCTCCAAACACCGATAAAAGGACTGTATTCCTTGCGATTTCATTCCAATATTTCATGTTCTGTTTTCTTATTTATCTCCATTTATGCGAAGCGGAGAGCTATACAAATTTTATCCTTCCGCGTCTTCCCTGAAATTCCGTCAACCTATGGGTATAGCCATTCCTTTTCGTTCTTATTAAATTTACATTTTCATGAATATATTTGTGAAATCTAGGATTAATGAATGTTTGCTAAAGGTTTAGCAATGACATATTTAACGTTAGTCAGGCTTTGAAGCGCAGAACCAGTCAGCAAAGGTAACCAACTTGATTTTGTGGCAAGATTTATAACGAATCGCTTTAATCTAACACTTATTATTTGTAGAGGTGCCTGCACCCAGAAGTTTCTTGTTACTGCAGCGACGCATTATATGCGACTTATCGCTTCGAAAGGCCTTTGTAATACTTCCCTCTGATTACGAGCGACATATGGAGAGAAAAAGTTCCTATCACGAATATGAATATTTCATGTCACAAGAGAAGAATATTCTAGAGGGGCTTTCATATGCTGCTGGGCCCTGTCTTTTTAGGCATCTTGGAGTCTAATGTCTAGTTCAAGAATGACTATGGAATAATGTATTTATATTTAACGCTTCAAGATGAAGGTTTCATGTGCTATAGTTCAACATGATAAGAGTATCTGTAAATAAGATGGTACAGTAATGGTCAAAACACCTGAATTATCCCCGTATCCCCCAGGAAACAAGGCCGCAAATCAATAAAATTATCAAATAGATGTATGTGTTATTTTAAGTTCTTCACTTATTATGTATGATTAGCAATGAACGCCATAGATCCAGAGATCCAACGCGGAAAATATTAAATGAATAAATAAATAAAGCTAAAAAAAATAAAGATAAAAGAAAAATGTCGCTCTCTCGTTCGGAAACAAGCTTTGAACCTTGAAAAATTGCCAAAGCTTCAGAGGTATCAATTTGGCGGACAGGGTTGCCTAAACTTCTGATAGACCAGCCTACTATTTCGATGTAAAAAAAAAAAACGTTGCCACGTCAAAAAGAGAAGTTGGAGAATCCCCTTGATCATCTCTAAAGTTGGTTATCTAGACGCATTGAGGTTTTCTGATTCGTTGAGGGAGTCTTCCACAAAATTGTCGCGAGATTTTTATGGTGAAATGCTTGAAATCCTTCAAGGAAAACACTCAGAGCATCCCAAACAGTGGCGAAAGCTTCAATTTTTTAATTCAGATGTCTGATATCAATTTTATGTAGATATTCACCGTGCAATTAAAAACAAGATGCGACTCATTAGTAGACTATAACATTAGTTTCCTAGCAAAGGGCTGAATTAATATATATTAACAGGAGACAAAGATTCAACGTAACTCATTCACACGGAAATTCATTAGGTTTATTTGAGGATGTGTGGTCTTCAGAAATTGAAGTGATCTCTCCATTTGTTAGCTATACGGAAACTGCTTTAAGTATCATCTGCCTACCTCAAGTTTCTTCGCTGTTGTCCACTCTCGTGAGCCTCGGAGTCCTTCTTTGAGAAGCTGAAGTGAACCAAAGTTTAGCAGGCGGAAACTGGCTCGATCGAAGTAAAAAGGTATTCTTTCAAAAATTATATTTTTGCAGATTATAAAAACTGTTCCATTTTCTGTTTCAGTATTTCAACGAATGCGACCAAAAACAAAACAAAAGCGAAACGATGGTGGACAAAAATACCCAATTATCATAATTTGTAATGAGATTCACTTACGTATGGATAAATTTCATTGAGAGAAATTTTAATGAATACCATCGACCTTGAGCTTGATTCGCAAATGATCTTATCAAATGATTTTAACACAACATAAAAGGGTCCATCAGAGAAAATTAATAAACATGTTGACTTGAACTTTCCTCATGAAGTATATTGCAAAACTAAGTTCCGGTAAGAAGACGAACGACATAATTTACATGGTAAATATTAAGTCCTTACATTTTAAAGATATGATCTTCCATTTGAAAAATACCTTCTCAATGTTTTACGAATTTATCAGACTCAAGATGTTATTTGTTATCATCACGTGCTTGAATATTAATAACCTTGATAATTTTATGATAAATTTAGTGATATCAGTACTAGCAGGATATTGGGCGGGAATAAAGGATCAGTGGTTTCAGATCAAAGAAAAACTCGCAAATTACCACCTTGAAAAAAAAAAAGTAGCCAAAGAAAAGCCAGCTATATCAAGATTTGTGAAAATTTCATCGCTTCTCGGTTTTTTCTTCATTAAGACGTCAACTTAACCTGCGAAAATACCTCAGATTTACACGTATTAGTGTAGCAGAACTGTTTTTTTTACTCCGAAGATGTTAAAGGACAAGGTCACTCGGAAAATTGCATATCTTTTGTGACCACCAATAAATAGTTTACACAAAGCCAAGTTAGTTGACGTTTTTTTTAGGCTTCCAAAGTTGCTCCGATCATAATAAAAATCCACTTCAGAGTAGCCAACGCGCGCCACCATTTTGAATAGCTAATTGCTTAGATGTGACGTCAAACCGTCCAACT